GTATGGTATCTACAAAACATTAGTGGAATGGAAGGAAAGTGAGGTGGCAATTTCCATACCTTTCATGGAGATCTGCTGTAACAAGAAGGTCTAGCGACTTGAAGTCCACTATCCGAGTGCAGCCCTCACCAGGACATCGTATTCTAGCCGCTTCTCCCTCATCTTGGATCTTGGTGGCGAGATACTGCCTATAGCAGTCCAGACAGAAGCGATGACCGCACTTCATGGCGAATGTGTCCATGTTGGGGTCGTCGTCGCAGCAGATGTCGCAGACAAAGCCCTTGACCTTTTGAATCTTTGGCGGGTTGGTGGTGGAATCCTGACTCAGGCCTGCTGTCTCCAAGATCTCTTCCGTCTTCTCCATATACTGGTCGATTAAGCGTTCCTTGTTCCATCGTAGGTGGCGGAGGAGGATGGCGGTGGCTTCAGGCGGCTGGCCGAGGATACTCGATACTTCGTCGACCTGCTTGTCTTGCTGTGCTTGAATTTGGACGGGGTCGAAGACCTTGAAATCTACTTCGTATGCCTGTTTGGTGGGCTTGATGTCTTTGTCTTGGGACTCGAAGCCGACATCGTCCTGGTCCATATCGAAGTCCGAGTCTGCACGCAGTCAGTCAGCCAAGCAGTTGGGCAGTTGGGAAATCACAGAATCGTCTACACACCATCCTCCAGGCCCATATCGCTGTCCTGGTCGTCGAAGCCATCGCCGCTCATGGAGCTGTTGAAGTCATCGTCGGAGTCCATGTCGGGGGCGTCGGGTGCGGCGGGGGTGTGTGACAGGTGAAGAACGGGCGAGAGCTGCGACTTCTTGGTGGGAGGCTCCTCTGCGGGACTGAGGTAGTTCGCCTCGTCAGCCTTCCGCTTGCGAACTGTAGAGGAAGGCGTCTTGGTTGGGCGTGTCCCGCCTGATGACGGAACACTAGGCTACTGCGGCGAGGGTGGGTATGGGTGCGTGTGCGTATGTGTGACTGTGAGCGCGGCTGATAAGGCAGGCCTTGGGTGCGCGTGGACGGTGGACAGTGGCGGGACAGTTGACAGTTGGGCACAGAAGACAAGGGTATTGGCCAGCGAGGCGGCTGCAACAAAGGCGAGAGTTGGGGGTGGTCAAAGGTGGAATGCAGTCGGCGGTCCTGGATGCGGGCACCTCACCCGATGGTTGGCTCGGGCTGTAGCCTTGGGGGGGCTGACGTAAAGAGGCAACCGCACCAACACCCAGAGGCGCCTCTCCGGATCTTCGCCGCCTTTCCATGTGGCGCCCGCCCATCCCATGCACCGCAAACACCGGCTCAAACCTCCTCTGAACCTTAACCCACCCCTTTTGCTACCCTCCTCCACCCCTCCATGTTGCAGCCTGTGACTCCTGCAGTAGCGCTGCCCACCATCTACCATGGTTCTATATTTGTAGGGACCTCCACACCATCTCTCGCAAACACGTGCTCGTGACCTCGGATATGCCCCGACAACCATGCCGTGCTTTTTGTGTTTCACCACGACACTTCACTTCTCCTGAGCACACAGAAAAAAGAACATGAGAAGAAAAACAGTTCTGCGCCACCCCACGTCTTGACAGGTGTGGGTGCAGAGCTGTCGCTAAACCTCTACATTGGGGTTTGGAGACTACCAACGCTAAGGGACCCCGTAGAGAGCATAGACAAGAAAAAAGAGAACCCGTTTGTATCATGATGCCATCTTTTTTTTTGGCGAGCACCCAATGCATCGGTCCAATAGCAGTAGTCATTCACTTGGACGTTAACGGCTTCAGCCTACATCCGTCTATTCATCCTCTTCGCTCTCCTCATCCTCCTCCTCACTCTCATCTTCACTCTCCTGCTGCAAGAAATCGATGAGCGACTTTGTCTTCTCCCGCACCTTCGCCATTTCTGCATTCTCTGCACTCTTTTCATCTTCCCACCACTGCAGCATGCCGTCCTCCTCGATACAATCCAACTCCACAAGTTTGGTTGCTGCGCTCAGCAGGATGCTATCGCCGTTCTCCTTGTTGCACAGGTCTGCTTGCAGCAATAGTAAAAAGTCGATCTGATCAACCTTGCTTTGTGCGTTCTTATCGAAGATGGACCGATCGATGAGCTCCTTGTGATGCCCAAAGACTTGCGCAATTGCGTTCTTCATTGTCTCGCCCGATTTGATGAGTGAAATGACACGCTTGACGAAAGACGAGACAACTGCACGTCTTACTTGATGGTCCGACGCGTTGGTACTCATACGAAGTGCTGTGAGTTCCAGTTGAATATTGGCGGATTCATGGCCCTCAACCAGCGAGTCGTAGATACTCGCCGAAGCATCGTGATCAAAGTTGGCCGCGTGCTGGCTGTCTGCAGAGCCTACCGAAAGGAAACTGCTTGTCGCTGATCTCTCGCGGCGCTCTATATCGTACTCGTCTGCTTCAGAGTCCGAATTGAGCGTCGATATTGACTCGTTTGACAGGTTGTACACTAGTTGTGTTAGCACGGTTGCAGCGGTTGTGTGTTTCGACTTACTCGGCCCCTTGAGGACAAGACCCTCGATAAGTTCATCCTCATCATCCTCATCCGAGTCGTGAAACTCGAATCCGTCGCCTTTTTCACCAACAATCGCTGGTTCCGCATCGCCCCGAACGAGCTCCTCGCCTTCTTCTCGTCTCCGCTTTGTTCTTGTGATTCTGTGCTCTCCCTGAACAACCATGCCCTCGCCAATGCTAACTCCATATGAGATGAGTGCGCCAGCCTCTATTGTGCACCTTCGCCCTATCGCTGCTTCGTTTGCAATAATAGCCTTGGTTACTGTGCTGCCATCTCCTATGCTAGCGTAGTCCCAGATGTATGCTCCATCAATCTTGACATTTCGGCCAATTTGGCAATTCCTTCCAATGATGCTGTTGGTGATGACACTTTTTTCGCCTACGCTGGTGCCCCGTCCAATGACCGTTTTGGGCCCAACGATGCAGTCGCGAGCTAGAATGACACCCTCCTCCTTGTACGTGTTACGCTTCTGCAGCCGGTATGACTGCCCTTGCACCAGGTTGCTGTCTGGACATAGCGGATACGCCCAGCGTGACACGATATCCTTGCTGACTGAGTCATAAGCGTGGAGATTCCGTACTCTTGCCGCGTAGTGGTCTGATATAATGTGCGTGTGGAAGGTTTTGCCGTTGAGTTCATAATCTTTCAATACGCTGTGTAGGAAGCCTTTGCGAGGCGCTTGGAAATCAAAGTTGTCACTCCACAACGCCAACACATCTGGTGTACAGATGTCGATACCACAATCGATTAGATCCTCGCGGACCTCAATTTCTTGGTGAGTCGAGAGTATTTCCGGGTCAATGGAGAGATAGTGGGTCTGCTCCCGGTTGGGCATTTGCTCAAAGTGTAAACATCTGTCCTTGCGCGGGTCGATAACGAAGACGGGGCTGGTTTCCTGGGCTTTTGTCCTATGATTGGTACCTGCCTCGCGCAGCACCATGGTCATGATGGCATTCTTGTCCTTCAATCGTCGCGCCCTATGCGCTGCCAGCGCAGACTCTAGTGGCAGGTTGCTGACGACATCACCATAGACCAAGAGAAAGTCACCGACTAGCAATCCCCTGCTATCGAGGTCGCGCATCGCATCACCAATGGAATGCGATGTCGACTGGATCAGCTCTAGTTTGGAAAAGGGCGATGACTTGGAAGACCATTTTGAAGCCTTGACATAGTCTTCAACCTGTTGCCGGTGTGCGCCGCAGTATACAAAGACCTCTTCTACGCCGGCGTTTGCGAGAAACTCGAACGTGTACTCGATGAGCGGGGTGTTTGCGAGGGGCAGCAGACACTAGCAAGCGTGTCAGCATGCGACTGGTGCCTCTGCACGGGGATGCGTACCCTTGGGTGTTCGAGGGTGAAGGGACTGAAGCGTGTTTCAAACGGGTCGGCGAGTATCTACAGAGTTAGCAAAATTCCGTATGGATTCAAGGCATGGCACTACACACCACGGCCTGCAGCGGCTCGTCGCGCTCCTCCTCGCCCGACTTGCCCTTGTCGTGCGCTTTTTTTCCTTTTGGCGGCATGCTTGAAGGGGGGTGTGTTGTACTGCGCAAAAAAGGATCAAAGGTGGGCGGCTGGGGGTGTAGAATGGGGCGGGCAGTCGGTAGCGGGGTGTTTTGCTACGACATCCAAAAAAGCTTCCACACACACTCACCACCGCCGCTGAGTCACAAGCCCAAAACCGGGGACCACCACGCAAAACCAGTGCCCCGGGTCCCGTCTGGACTCGGGTCCTTTAGCGGGAAGGCTCTGCGGGTAAGCCGCTGCAACAGGGCGCATGAATATCGAACGAGCTCGTGCGCAGCCTTCTGGCCAGGCTGTGGTGGTCTGGACCGCCGGGGGGCAGCATCTACTGCAAGATGCTTATTGCGACGACACCTGCGCCCTGAAACATGTCCGCTATCACACGTTGACAAGCACCAGGCGCCGCCTGACGTGCGGATTCTGTACAAAGCCCGTCGCCTATGGCGGAGGCGTCGGTACATAAGTCTCCTGGGCCGCTCACGACTAGCCACAGTAGCTTTACACGCTGCGGAGCAACACACTGCACTCGTTCTTGATAAGGACAAGGTCTTGCTCTCTTATAGCTCCGTTGCCTTGGAGCAAAATAACATGTCAAATTGTTTCTCTAGCAAGTAGGGTATTTCCTAGCAAATGTCCAGCCCAGCTCCCAAGTCACTTAACAACAAGTCACTTTCCAACCTTGAACGCCCAGAACACACAGTCCTTGGTGCCCTTCCCCCACAACATAGCTTTTGAACCGTTGTATCCTTGTGTTTTACTACAAAGCGTCAAAGGGCCAGCCACGACAAATGGCCTTGCGACCATGGGATCTCGGTTACGAGTCGCACAGAACACCCTTGTTCTGTATTAAAACTCCGTCGCTAATGCCTGCTGGCATAAAAGCCAGCGTCCAGTTTCTCTCCTCTATGTTTTTTTATACTTTTGATTTCGCTTCAGACTCGTCTAACACGCCGCCAATCAATGAGGGCGCGGCTGCATTGCCCCCATTTGCTGTTGCATCTGAGGAGGATACATTTGTTGACGTTTCGCTGGGTTGTTCATATCGTCGCCACCGGAAATCTCAGAGACCTGTCTGCGATGACCTTGTAGTTGTGCCTGTTGTTGCTGCTGTTGCTGCTGCTGCTGCTGTTGTTGTTGTGCCTGTTGTTGCTGCTGTTGCTGCTGCTGCTGCTGTTGTTGTTGCTGCTGCTGCTGCTGCTGTGATTGCATTTGCATATGTGATGAAGCATTGTACCCCATGTTCCCTTGCATAGGATTGACTCCGTATGAATTCGGGTGTTGCACTGGTTGTCCTCGCATGGCTTGCGCAAAGTCTTCTGGAACTGAAGTGCCGACCGGGGATACGCCCGGGATTTGGTTGGGCGAGTTCCAGTTGCTGACGGCTTGTGGTGATTTGCCTGGCGATTCCTCTTCCTTGAGCACCAACTGCCGTGCTATCGGTACAGGTTGTGGTGCCACCATGGACCCGTCACCTTGGGCTGATGGTTTTTTCAGATGGACAAGATGTTTTTCTAGCATATGCAATAGTCCTTCCTTGGTAAATGGCTTGGGTAGAACGTCATTCATACCTAATCTTGTTAGTACAAAGCTAGCAGGTAGTCAGGGCCGTCTTACCATGCTGGAAGTACATGGAAATGTCATCGCTACGAATGTTTGATGTCATTGCGACAATAGGTGTGGTGTCAAATTGCCGGATCAGATGGCACGCGGAGACACCGTCGAGATTTGGCATAATGATATCCATCAAGACCAAGTCGTATTTAGAGCCAGCATTCATCTTGTTGACAGCCTCAAGACCGTCGAGCTAAGCTCAGTTAATACAAGTAGCAGGTGTTGAGACCAGAAGAAAACTTACAGCACTATCGATAGAGCAGTGGAAAGCATACAAAAACTTGCTTCCAATACGACGACACGTAGGGTCGTCCTCGACAAGCAAGATTTGTGGCGGCCTAATCCACCCTGGGTCAGGGAAAGCACTCTTCTTCTTTCCCTCGGGTACCTTGGGCTCATTTTGGTCCACGGCTTTTGGTGGAGCAGCGTATGGGATGTTGTTGATGTGCTCGCTGTACATGGGATCAATACCATTGGAGGATCCGACTGGATATACAAGGTTGTCCAAGTTGTCCAGGCGCATCGAGTTTGTCGAAGTCGCTGATGGCGGGCCGCGGCTTGTGGGCCGCATTTGTGCGCGAGCAAAGTCTGGTGGTGGTGTTGTCAAGGTGCCATTCATCCTCATGGTAATCTCATTCATGTGCTCCAGGTTGCGGGGGTTCAGCATGGCATCGGCGTTGGTTTCACTGAGAAGCTTAGAGGCATGCTGCAATGGCGAAGCCGGGTTGTCGTCGTCATTGTTCGATGGGGGGTCCATGTTGCCATTCTGGGCTTCACCGCCATTGAAGACGAGCTTGCTATTCCTCCGCTGCGTCGCATCAACCCCATGCAAGAAAGTCATGATTTGCTGCATGACATGCTCGTGGTTAACGACCGTCTTTTGTAAACCAATGACCTCTTGCAAAAGCATGGAGTGATGAATGTTCAGTTCGTTGTATCGGCCCTCGAGCTGGTGTAATTGGGCTTGTGTCGCCATTAATTGGCCGCTGACCATGTCCATTTGCTGTGAGGGCGCAAAGTCTTCAGCGGCTGCTTGGTTTGGTTTTCGTGGTGCGGGAGCCTTTCGGCGAATGTTGTCGAGGGCATCTTTGTTGTTCATCTTGAAATCGGGGTGCTTGAATTCCCAGGCCTGTGTGGTGTTGGTTAGCCATGGTCAAGTCAAACGTGGGATGGTATGTCCAGCGAACGAAAGCCGCAAAGAGCGTGTGTGTGTGCAAAGCGTACCCCAGGTCCATAGGGCGACTGCCCATTTTCTTCATTGTTGTGGCGGACTTTGTGGAAATCATATTTGTTCAGTTGGCGCACAAAACTGGCAAAGTTGCTGTGCTTGAAGTGTTTGGGGAGTATGTGTTTGGTAAACTTTTCGTTCTGGCTCGGGGTTAACTTGTTTGCAACGAAACAAATGGGACTAGTAGATGCATACTTCCAAGACGACAAAACTGTCACCGTCATTGCCCCACCGGACTACACTTTCGTCGCTGGGGTTCTCGAGCATCCTGAATTGGCGTTAGTTGATTCAAGGGCCTCGGTCTGGACAGCTGCGCGCCTCAACGTACTTGTACAGCTTGCGCACAAAGTCGCTCGAGTTGTTGGAGCCGCCTCCACCGCCTTGGTTGGAATCCATGGTGCCGGGAGAGTTAGAGGCGCAAGAGGCGCAGAATGCCTGGGTGGCCGTCCAAGTGGGTGCGCGACAGGAACAGGCACCTCGCGTCGATGGGCAAGATGGATGTCGAGAGGGCGGGCACGGACAGGAGCAATTGGGACGAGGCAAGTCGAGAGGGCGGCAAACGGCGGAGGGCGCGCGAGGCTCAGGGTGCGCGTTGGAATGTACGGGTGGTAGGGAGTGGTCGCTTGGCAGAGAGAATGGAGGGTGAAAGGGCGATGACGAAATTAGCCAAAACAGGCGCGGCTTGTCGCAGGAGAACGGAGGGCAATGGACGAGATCTGGACCTTCAGGTGGAAGAGGCAAGGAGACATGGGCTCTGCTCGTTGGCTTGTGAGCTAAACGGCCCTAAAGCAGGTTAACCCGGGCCTTGAGAGGATTGCAGTCGAGCATGGGCTAGGGGAGCCAAGCGGGCGTGCCGAGCGAGGAGAACAGGGATGCTGGGGCGGGCGGATACGAGAGGGCCGTGTGTCCCTTTTTTATACATTTACGCATACATTGTCGAGCGCCGCCACATAGCATCAAGCCCGCATGCGTGGCTGGGGTAAATGTCTTGGTGTCTGCGGCTGTGGTCGATGGAGGGGTGGTGGTGGAAAAGCGCGCAGACATGCAAGGTGCGGTCGTGGCGGCAGTGGTGGTGGTGATGGTGGTGATGCTGCCGCCCAGGGCACCGCACGCCACCCTCTCCAGTCGCTGTGCCATGGGTCTCTTCGCCCTCTTGACGTGGGCAGCTCCGCTAGCTATGCCGCTGACGGCCCATGACCAGCCGCACAGTAGTAGGATCGGCACCGCACAGCAAGCGTGCGAGATGCACCCACTAACGCACCAGTGGGCCCCCCCTCTCCCCCAAGCCAAGTCATTATCCGCAAGCTGCTTGCCGCCGTGAGGCCTAGAGTACTGCTCTTGGTTGGCATGCGCACCGCAACGTATTTATGGAGCCTGTCACGTCCGAAACGGGCGTCTGGATATTGTGGGTTGCATCCTCTTAGAGACGTCGGTGAGGGAAGGGGCTGCCCTTGGCTGTCGCCCTCGCCCTGGCCTGCGCCTGCCGCCTTCCGCCTTCCGCCTTCCGCACAGCTAAGCCAAAACTGAGCACCCCCACCTTCACCACCACCATCACCCCCAGTCCACACACATACACGTGCTCTACTACGTATGTACACACGTACCCACGACACTCTACTTACTACTACTACTATTACCACTACGTACACACGCACTCTCTCGCCTGTCTACTAGTGCTGCATCCGCCATGTTCTCTGTTGCCTCTCGTCGTCTGCCCCTCGCGCTCCCCCTCGCTGGCCGCCGTCTCTTCCATGCTTCGTCGCCCGCATTCGTCAAGGTGGGCGACAAGCTGCCCGACGTCGACCTGGTCGAGGGATCGCCCGGCAATAAGGTCAACCTCGCCAAAGAGTTGACTGGCAAGGGTGTCATTGTCGGTGAGCCCAACACGGCGCCAATCTCCATTTCCAAAAACGCGGCCGTCTGACAGAAGCCGCAGGTGTCCCAGCCGCCTTTTCGCCTTCGTGCTCGGAAAGCCATGTACCCGGCTACATCAACTCTCCCAAGCTGAAAGACGCCGGCAAAGTCTTTGTCGTCTCGGTCAACGACCCGTTTGTGTAGGTTTAGTCTCCTCGCAAAAATCTCCCCGGCAGCCACGGCTACCTCCTCATGGCTGACTCGGCGACACGGTGGCGGCCACGTCTTGTTTGACTCGTGGGTCATGGACTCGACGTGCACAAGAGACATTGTCCACAAAAGAAAAAAAAATCTCCGTAGAAACAGTTCCTTGGAGCTGATTGTCATTTTCTGGTACTAACGTTATGGATTCATAGTATGAAAGCATGGGGTAAGATTCTTGATCCTTCCGGCTCGAGTGGCGTAAGTGTTACCTCGCATCATAGTCCAGCTACCCTGTATTAAAACAGCCAGATTCGCTTCTTGGGCGATCCTAGCCTTGGCTTCACAAAAGCGCTTGACCTGTCTTTTGATGGCGCATCCATCTTCGGAGGCGATCGTTCAAAGCGATACGCCCTCGTAATCGAAAATGGTACTGTCAAGGCCGCGCACGTAGAACCCGACAACACTGGGCTCAACGGTAAATCTTTCTTGGTGCATAAAGACATTACGCAGCTAACAACCTTAGTCTCCGCTGCCGAAAAGGTTTTGTGAAAAGATTAACGCAGCAAACATATACCGAGCGTCACATGGTAGTGCGCCACTGGGACTACACATGTCAGCCAAACTCGGACCTCATCCCGGCTTCGACTCGGCTTATGGCGCAACATAAGAGGAAAGGGCTATTCAATGCTATCATGTGCCCTTAGTAATCTCTTAGGTATGAAGAACGACTATGCATTGCCCATGATTATGGCTCAATACATCATGTTTACACCACCCTCACAATTTTCCGACCCATCCCTGAACAACAAATCCATAACCATATCCCACACCTTTCTTTGAGATTCCTGAACCACACGGCATGACTGTAGCGGATATTTCTGATTCTGTGTCGCTGGCACGCCATCCCCCAGGCTAAAAGAAGCCAGTCCTAGTCAGTTTATCGCTTTACTGCCATCTGGCATCTCTTTCATGTTAGCGAAGTATGTCGATAGTACCACATCTGCTGTCTATATTGCACTATGACGAACAATAGCCGTAGTTGTATCGCTGTCATGGCAGCTCTGAAATATAATGGTTCTCGTAGAAAGATCATCATTGGCCGAGCAAACCATGTGCCGCTGCTCAGCTTTGGTAGACATTCTCAGAGTTGCCTCATTCTTTTTCGAAGAGGCCATTACTGTACGCTCAATATCTAACTTCTATCATTGATCGGCGCGACATGCGTGTGTCGTGGGCAGCGATCGCACGGGTCAAACTAACATAACAGAGCAGCCAGTGCTCAATTGAATAATAATCAGAGCACGTATTACCGCGTTGTCTAATGCTCAACTTAATACCACTGCATTCGCTCCACCCGTTCCACAATATCTTGAATATTCGTCCCCCACTTTCATAATTATTCTCCATCCTGAGGTATGCCACTCGTCTCACATCCATTATTTGATCAAATCAAGATCGAGATCGTGATTGCACGGGAAAGAGCCAAGGTTTACAGATACGGTTCAAGGGAAACACACTCTCGCTCGTAATCCGGAGCATCGTGTTTTATCTCTTCTCTGTTCTCCCTTGGGTCGCTTTCTCAACCCCAACATTAGGGTGACCAATCGGCCCTTTCTATTCGATACGGATCAACATTCAGACCACGGACAAAAAACTCTCCCTAGAACCAGGGGACAGGCGGAAAGTTAGATTTGGGGGTTTGAGTTTTGCATCCATTATGCTCTCAACCCGTTGTCGCGGTGGTGCGGGTTTTACGGGATATTTCTCTCGTCCCTCCTCATCATAGGCAATGAACAGCAACAATCCTATGGTATTGTAATCATTTCTTCTGAGACAACCAAGTTCAAAATACATGCATGGGCCATCTTGTAACAGCCGCATCTGAGAACTACCCCAATGACTACACAAAAAACAAACAGTTGCATATCAAACATGCACTGCGGGGTAAGCATCCTACTTTGACGCATATGCACAAGTACCGAGATCCCTCTTCGTAGCCGGAACATGCGGACTGATATCAAAATCAAAGATATCCATCGGTAGTCCCATAGTCGTACACGCGTTGGGAATATCGACAATGCCCGCCACATGTCCCTGTACCGGTGCACATGAGAGCAGCAGATAGATCTGATAGTCGCTGTAGCCTATTTGAAAAAAAAATGTCTCGGTTAGCGCCATAAACATGTAAGGGGGAAAAAAAAGGAAGAAGAAATAAGGAAATTCAAAGTGTTTCATAGCATGTTCATGCCATGACAGAGGTAGGGATGTCCAAAAAAACAAATCCCACGTTGAAAAAGAAAAGAAAACTCGTAGAGTAAGAGAAAAAGAAAAAAAGAAACAAACCGCGAAAGGAAACGAGAAAACCAAACTCACCATACCGCCTCAAATACTCAATAGCCCTCAAACATGTCTGCCTATACGCCACCGTCGCATCCAAGTAATGTTGCTTCCCCTTCTCATCCACACTAAACCCCTCAAAATAAATATACCTCCCGGGACCAAACTGCGGCTCAACAGGTCCAGGTATGTAAATGGGACTCTTGATATCAAGTTCCTTGACACCACCTTTCATAACACTAAACTTGAGCGTAATCACCCCCGCCATCTCAATCGCACCGCAAAAAGAAATTTCGCCGTCGCCCTGGCTAAAGTGCAAGTCGCCGACGCTGAATTTAGCTCCAGACACATGGACGGGGAGGTAGACTTTGGAGCCGCGGGAGAGGTTCTTGATGTCGCAATTTCCGCCGTGTTCGGGCCTGCCCGGGATGGTGCGGGCGCCTTCTTGGCCGATTTTGGATTTTAGAGAGCCAGAGGCGGTGCCGGCGTGCGTGTTGAGGGGTTGAGGCGGTTGGGCGACGATACGGTTGAGGTGGGTGTGTGTTGAGATTAGTTCGGCTTCGCGGGTGTTCCAGGTTTCGAGGATTTCTTGCGAGGGGGCGCAGCCGAGGACTTTTGTGGTCTTGAGTTGGTATATTTTTTTTATATATATCTTTTTGTTCTGCTGTTTGTGGGGGATGGGGAAAGGGAAAGGGGGGGGGGAGAAGGGGGAGAAGGGGGAGAAGGGAATATAACTTACTACCAGGATGAATCAAGCCGGCGAATCTAACACCAGGAATGTGTCTGGAACTACAGAATATACCTTCGAAATCCCATATCGCTTTTGCTCTTTGCTCTTATCAGTCCTCGTTCTCCTTTTTCAAAACCCCACATAATTCACACATAAAGTAATTTCGTGGAACAAAACTTACGGCTCAGGGTAAATCTCATCTAGAAACCCGCCTCCATTCTCTCTCGCGAAGATACCAGTGAACCCCCACGGTTGCTCATCCAAAGGCTGCACATCCTGAATCTCAACTACAAGTACATCACCGGGCTCTGCAGTCTCAATGTCAAAGGGACCGGTTAGATAGTGGATCTTTGTGAGATCAACGTTGCGCACGTCGTCGGCTGAGTCGTTGTTGCCAATTTGGCCGCCGGTCCAGTCGACGCATTCGATTTTGACGACTTCACCGGGCTTGATGGTGGCGTACGAGGGGTTTTCAGGATGCCAGCGGTTCTAGAATTGGGGTGTGACTTTGGTTAGAACGGGATAATAAAGTGTGAGATGCGGGAGACACACGTGCAAGCATTCTTGCTCTGCTGCTGGTTTGTCTAGATCGACTTTGGCTGCGTATCGGATGGCGTCTTTACCCATAGTAACGGTTTGAAATCTACAAGTTAGGAATTGGGACTGGGATGAAAATCAAAAGGAAGTAAGAAGGAGCAAACACGATCCATTACAGAAAGAGGGGCTCATGATATAATGTCAGGCGGACGAAGGGGGATGCCGAAAGGGCCAGGTCATGGATTGTTATCGCTACAACACCCAATTACCGAGATGCCGTACATTCCCTCTCAAACTATCGATACATCGTCTATGATAAGCTCAGTGATACGATGCGGTTACGTTATGTATCGTTGAATGGAGCTATCAGGCTACCTCCCATAACAAGACGCGTCAACCCCACTGCGGGGCATGTCCATATCGGACATCATCATCCCGCCATACTAGATAGCGTGGCAGTCCATTGCGCTTGACCGCCAACTGCCCAATTGAACCTGGCCGCCATTGCTTCCACGGAAATAAGCTGCGTGTACGTCATGGCTGAGGGGCTGCTCTCAGTTTAGGCCAAGTGGGGTGGACATTATGCCGTCCTAGCTAAATGTTTTCCTCGGAGTCTGGCGCACTTCAGACTGCTCCTTGGGCCTGTGCATTGCCAGATTGTATTCGTCCATGTGTTGCCAGGGCATATTGAGAAACTCGTGCTTGTTCTTCCAGCGGAGCGACTCTTCCTTGAACTTTTCGGCTTCAGTCGGCGGCAGAGGTGGTTCGGTGATTTTGGTAATGAGATACGCTGTCGAGGCTTCAGCGAGACCGTAGATTAGGACGCCGACGAGTGGGATCTTGACAAAGATGTAGAAGCCGAGGCCGAACCCAAAAAGGACACCGGCGCGGTCTTTGAACCAAAGCTTCTTCTGCTCCTTGGTGTAACGAACACGGCTGAAGTACGGCTCGAGCTTACGGGGTGTCAGCGGAATAAGGTTTGGGAGATACCGAAAGCGGAACATACCAGCTCACGCATAAGCGTGCGAGAAGAAAAGTAAGCTTGTAGGAAGCTGACCAAGTACCTGCGAGGGAAGAGGAGAGACATTGCGAAAATGGCAGCAGCTGGCTGAGTTCCCACCGCCTTCTTGAAAGTGTAGAAACTGGCAGCCGGAAGCACTAAGCGTCCTATGTAAGGCACGTAGGAGAGAGCCAGGACTCCCAGTGAAATGGCCGCCTTTCTGCTCTGTTTTGTGGCGTACATTATCACAGTCTGCTTGAGGGGCTTCTTCTCCTTCTTCTCCGGCTTAGGTGCGTGGTCGGGGTACTTTTCAAGGTTGGGATAGTACATGGCGCGGAGGTTGTGCGGATCGTCCGTCTTGTGCTTTTGTACGTATGTCTCGTCGACCCAGCGCAGCGAGTCCATGAACCTGCAAAGATGGAGGTTAGACGAGCCCGAGTACAAGTGGTGGTGACTGACATTTGGTCGAGCGTCGGCGTCACATAGCGCATCAGCGTCATGAGGAAGAAGGGCACCTGAAGCACCGAGTGCTCAAGGAAGTGGAGGCTATCTATGATCGTTTCGTCCAACCCCGTCTGGCTCATGTCGACAAACAGTGAGAGAATCCATAGTAGCACTCGTACACCAACAATCTGAAATATGTAAGCGACGCTGTTTGCTGTGAACCTGGTCAGGCTATGCTTCGGAACGTACGGGAATGGCGACAATGATGCGGATGGCGACGCCAGCAGCTACGGCTATGGCGGCCTGGCGGTAGTGGTCGGAGGTAAAGAGACGCGGGTTCTGGAGGGCACGATTGACTGTGTAGGGTGTCAGACAGCAGCTGTGGAAGATGACGATACCCTGATGGGTAGGTAGCAACATACCGCCAACTAGAGTCAGCTGGGCGCCCCGCAGGATGGCATTGGGGTCGAAATTGGACACATCGAAGTTGGCTATGTCGATTTTGTCCATGGCGGGCAGTCTGAGTAGACAGTCGGACGAGCAGTGCAGTGGTCTGACGAGAGCACGCAGCAGAAGCTCAGTGCACACGTACGTAGTGGCTCCACGTCGGCGTCGACTGTGTGCTGTGCGAACGCCTGCGAACTGGTGGAGCAGATGACGAACATGGAGCTACTGTTTCTATGTATGGGGGCGCCAGCACCCGCGCCGTCACCGTTGCAGGTGCCATGTAGCGCTGTCGCGAACGCGGGGCATGCGCGCTGTCATGTATGTACATAGTCACTGTACTCTCTCTCACTCTCTCTACATGCACCTTGATCCGTCTTGTCCGCTGATACTGCGGTGTGGCTCATGTCAGAGAGACGTGGGGTTGCCGCCGCCATGGGCTGACCGGGCTGAGACTCGACACCGTCCCAGTGGCCATGGCGGTAGCGCGTACTCGTCCGCCGCCGGCCAGGGACGGACAGAGCTGAGACGACCTCGCCCTCAACACGCACACGACTCTTGTTGAGCACACATCGAATCCTCCTACCAGGCGCCGGACGCTTTCCTGTATACACTATTCCTCGCCGCAGCCTCTTCAGCCCCGAAATGCTCGCATAGCTGACCCGCCATGTCCCTGCCGGCTTCACCCCAGCACCTCCATGACGCGCCCTCCTCTCTGACTGCCAACAACCCTGTAGCCGCACGGAGGAGCTTCACCCTTCCCACGCGCACCGCACCAAGGACAGCATCGGTGCCTGCGTCTACAAACAGCGTCGATGGCATCGAAACTCTCTTTGTCTGTTCCGACTCTAGGATCTTCTCCTTTACCACAGCCACCTCGGCTCGGCGCCCCTCACCAGAACGTCAGGGTGACGCATGGCAGCCGATACCGTGGAAGACGCCCACCGAGCGTACCCTTGCAGTTGGTATGTCGTCCTAGGTGCCACGAGCTGTGAGCCATGCTAATGCCTGACCAGGTGTCCTACGCATCTACCGTGTAACCGCGTCCAATGTCTCCTTCCTCAACAGCGGCAACCTGCTCCATACCATCTTCCCGCGTTCGCAATGCTGGTGCGTCGACAACCAGTCCGTCTTCGTGCTGCGGGTCCGGCAAGACTCGTATTATCGTATCGAACTCCCCTATGAGACTGAAGAGGACAAGGCCAAAATCACCCACTTCCAGTCGGTCCTCGCCCAAGTGATGCAGTATGAGCGGACACGATGCCCCTTCCGACGAGGCGCTGGGGTCGAGGAGCTTCAGCGGCCAAAGAGTCCGCCGCGCAAGACAATCAAGAGAAAGCCTTCAGGACAGGCGAAGAAGTGGATTTTGGACAAGACCTGGGTGCCGGAACAATACGGGTCGCGGCCTTCTACTGCCGGGACTGAACGCTCAGAGGCCAGCACTGCTTCGTCCAACGACGAGGATGATCGACGGAGCATCTGCACGGACAATAGTGAGGCGGTACCCGAAGCACCAGAGATTCCGTTTGTGAGGATACTTCCAGACTCGCACAGCTTGCTGCCCTCATCCAAGCCGTCCCCGCGCCGTCTCTCTGTGGCAGAACGCGCAAGCATCTTTCAGGGTGTACGCTCGGTCACGGCACCAATCAAGACGCAGCGGACGGGATCTGTGTCTGCAATGCAGAGCATCATTGAGTCGCCAACAGGTCAGCCGAGTAGGGACGCAGAGAAGCCAGTGCTTGAGCGTCAGGTGTCGGATGCCGGCAGCGTGGTGTCCAGCACTGACTCATTCTACTCTCTCTCGACAGTTACTCCACGAAGCCCCTCACCCAAGTTTATGGACGCTGAGACGGTGGACATGAACCCGTGGGCAGCTACCTTCTCAGCACAGCAACAAGACGAGCCTAGGGGACGCTCGACACACCGCAGACATATATCAGAGGCGACGGTACGTGCTCTGTCGACTGAACGGACCGATGCATCTGCGCCCGTGACTGCGACGGTCCCATTCTATGCTACGACGATTGTGTCGACCAATATGCGCCCGTCGTCAGCGCCGTCTACCCCGCCGCTGGTCAGTGACTCGGACAGCGACAGTCTTGGCCGCGCCAGCCTGGATATTGCCACACCACCAGAGGGCATCAGAATGAAGCGACTGACGGGGGCGTCGCAGCGACGGGCGTTTTCCCCGATGCCCCCGACGCAAAACCTGTTCTATCCACCCAAGCACAGCCCTGGCAAAGAGTTTACCAATGCCCTAGTGCGCAAGACGTATGAGATTGTGCTGGGCCCGCCAGCACATCTGGTGTCGATGATGTTGCGGATTGCCACGACCATCTCCAACGGCATTGGGCTGAGTGCATATCGAGCCCGCCGCGCCGAGAAGATCCCGTGTTCGTGGGAGTCAGATGACGAAGCAGACTGGGATGAGGACGATTTCGGCATCCCGCTCAACAACATCAGAGAGGCAAATGTACGGCGACGAACGTTTTCTGGTGACGTGGATTGAGGCAGAGGATGGGCAAGAGACGGGGGCTGTGAATATAATTAGAAGAAGAGGGTTTGCCATGTGCGTAACGTGGTTTGCGTAATCTTGAATGATACCAAAGGGGCTTGTACGGTTAATGTCTGCATTTACAGGGGGTTAGTTAGTTTAGTCGCGTCTATGCTGCGACGGGGTCTTTTTTTCTTTCTTTTTTTTTCCTTTGAATTTTGTTTCTAGAATAAGTGATTGTAATACTGGGGAGGGGGGTGGCGGCATGTATGTAGATTATTTTGGTGAGGGGCCGGCTTGGTTTGGTTGGAGGGGTGGATGCGGAATGAGGAGGCCTAAGCGTGGACGAATGAGAACACATGTTCATTGTTTACTGCACACACACCGTCTTTGCCTGAGTCAGGCGTGTCACGCGTGGGTGGGAAGAATGCGTTGGATGTGAGACACAGACAACAGACAGCAGGCTCTGTTGGAGTGTGTATGTACACACACACACACACACACACACACACATACATACACACACCCACTAGGTAGAAAACAGGGTGTATGACCTCAGCCCGGGACGGCACCGTTGGGGACGAGGGGTGCATGCGCCATGACATGTTGGCTGGCGACAAAAACCTGAGCATCTCGATTTCCGGGGATGCAGCTGAAGAGAGCCGCTGAGCCGGACGTCGCTAGCTCCCGTCTTGTCTGTTTTTGGTTGAGGAGGACGAGATTGCTTGTATGTCTGTCGGGCGGCAGCGCAGCTATGGTCACTCCAGCCCTCGTAAGTCTCATCGTCATCAGCAGCAGCTGGCCGAGGGGGGCAGTAATGGTTGGCGGGGAGCAGGCGGGTGGGTGATAGACATGACATACGTACATGTACACACGTCCATGTGTGTACATACAATGGACGTATTGAGACGAGAAGCGCCGGGCAGGGTGAGGGGTCATCCATCCGTCTCTCCACCGCGTGGGGCGGTCAAAGGCACGGTGCAGGGCTACAGAGGCCCAGCCACGCTGGCAGAGTTTGGATCGCCTGTCCGACTTGTGCAACGCCTGTCCAATGGCGGCCAAGACTGCCTCGCGTGGCCGCGCACGTAAACCGGGACTTGACCGACTAATTGGCCTCTCCTGAGCATTCGGCCTAGTCTGGTCATGCTGCCAGAGCCCTCGTAAAATTCCCGCCCTGCTTGCCTGTCGCCGCCCTCGCCGCCGCCCAGCCGACTAGAGACTAGAAGACACCACACAGCGTCGCCTCGCTTGCGCCGCACCACGCCTGCCCGCCTGCCCGCCCACCCATCCATCCACCACGACACTACTACTACTACTTCTTCTTCCCCCAGACGTCCCCTCCCCGACTCTACGACGACGAGGCTGCGACTTTTGGCTTCGTGTGGACGCGGCCGTCTAGCATGAAAAGAAAGATGGCCGACCTCGACGTGTTGATGGACGAGACGTTGACGTTATGCAAAACACCCCCAGTGCCCCGACGGCACCCCTATCGCCAGTTCTACCAGTACAAAAAACCAGAGACGACCGCGCCAGAAGACAAGCCCGACATCGACATGACCGGTCCGCCCATGTTTACCTTTGGATCCGACACCGACCTTGTGCCCCAGCCACTCTTCAGTAGGACCAACTCCATGCCCAGCAGGAGCAACTCGCTGCCCTCCGGATCATCGCGCCCCGTCAGACCACCAGAGCCCTTCCAGTTCAACTCGGACATTGTCAAGAGCCCCTCGCCACTCTTCAGCAGGAGAAACACGCTGCCGCCGCGCGTCCGACGTGCCATGGCCTCGGAACGAAAGCCCTCGCCGCTGTCCCATAGAGAAGATGCGCAACCGCCCGAGCCGACCCACCACCCCTCTGCCATCATGTCCCCGCCCACGTCACCAGATGAACAGCCACTCGCCCTATTCCCTACCATTATCACCACCACCACCACCACCACCGCAACAACGACCAAGCCACAGCCTACCCTGTCAAAAGCCACCCCATCAAAACCAAAACCCTTGCCGCCAAAAATCTTCCAAGCGATACCTCCTCCAACAAGGCCTCCACCACCCGTCCCGACAATGGCTACTCCATCGAAACCGGCACCCTCAAGAGTGATACCAACAAGGACGACACCATCAACGCCTTCATCCCTCACTGCTTCCACCCCGAAACGACCATCCCCGCTCTCCGGAAAAGGGAGCGTGCGCCGCCCCGGCCCCAGCCAAATTGCCCCTTTCCAACCTGCATCGCCTATGGTACTATCACCTGTCACTTCCCACACCAGCTCCGTAGCCTCGTCGCCTACCCCCTCCGTCTTCTCGGAAGCTGCCAGTTTTTCTGCCTCGGCACCATCAACACCATCGACACCGTCCTCATCCCCGCCCAGTTCCCCGGACAACCGTCCGCGCTCGCCAATGTGCTACTTCACACCGACTTACTGGACCATCATGACCTCACCCTCCCCAGTCTATATCCCAAGGCAGAAACTAAGGCGCAAGGACAGCCCCAAGATCGAGAACCTGAGAACCCTCAGAGCAAAAGAGTCCGACGCCTGTCTGGAGGCCATGTACGACCAGCGAACATCGGCCTACATGGATTGGACAGGCTTCCAGGCCCTCTCAAATTGAACAAAAAAAAACATGATTTACCATCTCGCCAGCATGACCTCATAGCCCATCTCTTATTACCGCTGGGCCCAGAATGATTTATTCCCGAGATGCTAGAACATGCTGGACGAGATGACAAGTGTGAGTTGTCCACTACACACGTTGCATGACGCAACCACTGACATATTCACAGACTATTATTTGCAGCATACTGCCTGCACCACTACACTTCTAATGATGACGATTTACGACTTATGACGACAATGAACCAGTATGGAGGATACGTACGGCGTTACAGAGCATTCGATTATAATACCCAGGGTTTGAACATTTAGCATATTGGTTTTGTACACCTGGTTTGCCATAGTCGCACGTCTTCAACGCATAGTACCCATGTAATATAATACTCCACAGGGCCAGTCAGCGCCCTGTTTCGTTTCTGCCACTCTGACGGACGTTCCAAACCAATACATCAGCGTGCATATCCATCGCAGAGCCTCAGCTTGGCGTTTCCTGCATGTCTGATACGAGCCCCGCCCATCTGCTGACCCAACGTGTGCAGCGACACACCCACTCGAGGCGCAGCTGCCTCGGACACCGCCAGTCATTCGCCAACCCTCCCCAGCACACGTCACAGCCGCAGTCGCTTTTTCTTGCCGCCACACCCACCAATGCGCATCGACTCTTGAATCATTGATTTTCGTTGCTCTACACCACTCAAATCCACCAAAGGGCTGCAACGCACACTGTATGCACACTACTCGTGCTAGACTCAGTGCCCCTGCGCCGCATAGCCGTCGTGGCGCAGCGCATTGCCGCTTCTGTACAAAGGTGGACCTCGCTAACCACACCTGAGGTGTAAGCGCATAAGTTGGCCCCCAAGAAGCCTTCAAGACCCCATGCAAATGGACGCAAATACAGCACACCGGAATGCGTATGTGGGGGGTGGGCGCGTTAGAAGATTTATAAGATGCTAGTAGTCCCCAGCTCTATACCTCTGATGGTGTCCTGAATTATCGGATTCCCGCACGTCATAGGTTTCAATCGACTCTGGCAGCGCAGCCTTGCAGGCAACACTGATATTCATAGAGGACTCAAGCACCTGACTCATTGTGTCACCACTACTGCAGGGACTGGGAAGAGGCCGCCCCAGGACAGATCTAGATATATAAGTGGCATTTGAATCTAGTCGTCGCATCCTAACTATACTACCTACATTTCCAACCAACAACGCACTCGCAGATTTGAAAACCAGTGAATCTACTGGACCACCGGATCGAATACAGAACACAGAATACGGAAAGAGAACCATCTGCCTATCTGGGCAACCCTCAGACATGGAGCTTTCCAACTCGGAGAGGAACCCAAATGCGCCACTGCGGTTGCTCTCGCTCGATGGAGGAGGTGTGCGCGGATTGTCGTCACTACTTGTCCTCGAGACACTGATGGAGAACATTGCTTTGGAAGAGAAGAGACTTGGAAGGCGGGCAATGAACAATCATGAGCCACTCAAGCCATGTGATTACTTCGACCTCATTGGCGGCACATCGACCGGAGGAATCATAGCTATTATGCTTTCACGGTTACGGCTCGACTGCAAGCAGTGTATAGCCGTTTACAGCAAGCTGGCTGAGCAGATTTTCAAGCACGACCGATCTCTCAAGTTATTCGGTATGAAAGTGCCCACAGGAGCCAGCCGATTTTCCGGTGCCGTACTAGCAAACGCTATCAAGACCGCGCTCAAAGACTTGGGCTTTGACCCTGACGAGCTCATGTGGGACGAGGCGCTATTCGAAGAGGTGGAGGAGGCAAATGAACTACCTAGGGACAGCATCTGGGCAGATGCCGCGCCCGACTTGGTACTCACTGAAAGTCCACTGGCGACTATGAAAAATTCATTGGCTTCATTGGAATCGGGGCCACCGCTCAGTACTACAAGCACCACAAGGCCTTCATCTACACTCTACAGTTCAAGTCCGTTCACTCCAAAAGCCCCAACGCGAAGCCCTACATGGAAGCTTCACAAGCGGCAATCAGTCCACCGGAAAGCAAATGCAAAGGGCTGCCGCGGCTTTGTGCTCACCTCACTCAAGAACGCACTAGGGCTTCCAAGGATCCTCTCTACGTATGATCCAAACGACCGAACCACTCGCATCTGGGAAGCTTTACGGGCGACATCGGCAGCACCGACATTTTTCGAAGAAATGCAGTTTGGCACACCAAAAGTCACATACCTCGATGGTGGCGTGGGCTTCAACAATCCCTGTGCAGAAGTCGACTACGCAGCCAAAGCACTATGGGAGAACCGGTCTATTGGCGTCATAGTCTCAGTCGGAACGGGTCTCCAGAGTATTCCCAGCGTCAAGAAGATGGCCTCGTGGCTCCCCTTTGGTCTTGGAACCGACATCTCAATCGCCAGCGCACTCACCGGCATGGCGACTAGCACAGCTCGCGTCGACAACGAAATGAAGCGCATGTACAGCAACTCCGACACAAAGTACTTCCGCTTCGACGTAGACCGTGGCCTCGCCGACGTCAGCCTGGAGCAATGGATGAAGGAAGACGAAATGGCCAGCCTTACGGAACTCTACATGAACGACGGCCAACAAATCCGCGCCGCCCGCGACTTTGGCGAGCGCATGGCCAAACTCTCCGCTCTCCCCCCAAAATTCGAAATCAGCGCCACCCAATTCGCCGTCGGCATGTCTGGCACCCGCAAACTCGACGACTCGTTCAAACTCGTCCACGTAGACTTCAAAAGCGGAATGCCCATCGGCACCGGCCTCGACACCCTATCCCTCAGTCCCTCTAACCGCAGCACTTCCCCCACAGGTGAAGGCGGCCTCGCCCTCGACGACAACGGCCGCCTCCGCAAAATCTACCCTGTAGCCGCAGACCTGGACCACGACGGCCGTCGCGAAGAAGCAGCCGTATACCAGTGCCTCCACGCCGACAACATCTGTCTCCGCAGCATCAAAACCGGCATTCCCCAAGGCAAATACAAAGTCTCCTTCCTCGTCTCTTTCCACTCCTCCGACCACACACCCCCGCGCGACGTCATCTTCAGCGTCGGCAAACCATACGACGCAGAGAATTTCGCCACGCGCTTTGTCGACGTCAAAATTACTCCAGATGTCGCGGCTGTGTTGCTCCAGCCTGATGCTATTCGTGTGCGTGTCGGTAGTCGCCGGTATGAGGAGTACAAGGGAAAGGGCTGGGTGGAGATTCAGGGGGATATAGAAATTAATGTGGGCTTGGATGGCGCGTTGGGGTTCTTGGTTAGTAAGAGGTACAAGAAGGATGTTTTTGTTGATGGGTGGAGTTTTGGGGGCGTGAGGTTGGAGCCCGTGTTTGGGAGTAGTGTTGTTGGGAGTCCGAGGATTGTATAGTGATCATGGTTGAAGGGGGGGGGGGGGGAGAGGGAGGTGTGTTGTTTCTTTTTTTTTGGGGTTGCATGCTTGGTGTTTGCTAGCGTTCTTGTTCTTGTTTTTTCTTTTTCTTCTTTTCATGAACATATGTACAACGACATAGAGGTCCGACTGGGTTGGCTGTTTGTTTTATGAATAAGTTGGGAAGTCATGATAGTATTGGGCATTTTTATACAGTTTATGTAGTCTCAAAATGATCAATCCAGTTAGAATTTTACCTACCGAACCACGTGACGTAGAAGAGCAAACACAGCTTTTAAGTCGTGACAGGAATACCTGGCTTCATCGGCTTTTTCACTCTCCAATCCCTTGCCTTAAAAGGGCGAAGTGAGCACGGGGCTGGGGCTTTGCAGGGGGTCCTGTTTGACCTCACCTGCTTCAACTCCCCTTTTGCTGCCATTTCCCAATGTGGGATTTCCTTTGGTTATATAATCTGCCCTGTATCTCTCATAAGTTCTCCAGTCACACCTTTTTCTCTTTCTGTATATTCTGCCTCCGTCTCTGCGAAACTCTTACTACCCTATACTTTTGTTTCCTTTACATATATATATATACCTGATACCAGCAATAATCAACATGGCCCGCAACTTCCTAGACCTTCCGGCTGAGATGAGGAACCTTATCTGTGAGTATGTTCTCACAGAGGAGTATGGCCTCTGCTTCGAGACTTCCGGGGGTGTTGGTCGCTTGCGGTCAAGGCATCGGGGGGAGTTTGAGGGGTTGGAATGGGAAGACGAGGAGGAGGAAGTTGTCGACGTCGATAGCGACTAGGAGGAAACCTTACTTTTAGCACAGCCATATAGAAGTAGAACCTGATGAGCGTCGACGAAATGATGGACAGTATCAACAATGTTGGGAGCCCTATAGGCACAAGCTTATACAAGTATCAGGAAATATTATAGGACTGAGTACAATCTTTTTTTTTTAGTCAGGGAGAAGAGCGTTTAGTACAACGAGATTTTCGGACTTTGGTACAAAAGTGCCTCACTACCGTGTGTGTGTGTGTCGCTTCACAGTAGGTGACGTTACATTCGTAGATATCAAAACCCTATATACACAACCCCCTATTCCTACCCCATGCCCTCCTTTCTCCTCCTCTATTTCCCCAAACACAGCCCATCAACCTTAAGCCGCTGGACTAGCAACACTCGTCGTAATCGGCCCACTCTCCACATACGTGCCACTGAAGTACCAATCTTCGGCACCCGTGCCATCAAGTCCCGACCTGGGCAACCTCAGCACACCCAAATGCCAATCCGCACCGTTGGACGAGGTACCCGTTGAGAACGGGCCGGCGGTCTTGACAAGCGAGCTGTTACCGGTCGAGTGCCAGAAGGAGACTTGGTTGGAGGAGAAGTTAATCTCGTAAGCGACATTATGCCATTCATCGGCTTTGAGCTCGGTTTTCCATTTGCTCTGGCCGCTTACCATCCATTGCCTTTTTATGTGCGTGTTAGCATACTCGTTTCTAGTCTAGACTCGCTTTGACCCTGTTTTTTTGGAGAATAGTTTTGAGAAGGGGAAAAGGGGGAGGGGGTGGGGAATGTACTTACAAGTTGGTGTTGCTGGTTCCAGACTCGCCGCTAATCCAGCCGTATTTCAGCTCGGTGAAATGGGACTCGAAGAAGGCGATTTGGTGCTCGTTTGTTGCGCTGGGGACGTTTGTGGTGGAGCGCTTGATGGAGAAGTGGTAGAATACTGTGCCTTGGTTGATGGGGGCTTTGGTTTGCGGGATGAGCTCGGTGCGCCACATGTCGCTGTTCCATTTTGCGGTATTGTCGATGGTGATTTTAGCGCCTTGCTTGCTGCCAGTATCGCCGGAGTTTTTGTAGTTGGGAGAGAGGTTGACTGGGGGTGGTTAGTTTGGGGTGTGTAGGAGGTGCGGGAGGGATATACCATAGCGCGAGGTTGGGCCAGAGCCGTGGATGTAGTATTGGTAGTCTGGGAGGAAGGTTAGGTATGGCGGTTGTCTGAATGCGTAGGTGGGCTTACTGCCGACTTGGTTTGCCCAGGACCATTTATCAAGATCGGCGCTCGAGGTCATGTCGTTGAAGCGTCCATCCCAGAGGATTGTGCCTGGTGAGTGTTAGTGATGTATGAGAACATCGAGGTGGTAACGAACCCGCAGAGACAGCGCTCACGAGCGCGTTGACAATGGTAGCTTTTCCCAACATCTTGATTGTAGAGACAGAGAGAGTCCAAGGAGTGAAGAGACGAGCGTATTCAACTCAAATCCGATGCTGCTACATATCGCCTTCACAGTGGTATATAAACTCCATTCCTGCCCCGAGAACACAGCCAAAGCTTCACATCCATGTTCATAGTCCTGCACTTTAATATCCCATAAAGGACATCTGACTTTGCCCAGATTCGCACAACCACTTGATACGCGCTCGGTCATACTGCTACTCAATCTATCCGCCGCCCTGAAATGGCCCCGGGTGGACCTAGCGGCGGCCATACGGTCCGGGGGCACGTTGCCCTCCGTATAAGCCCGGGAACGGAGACGGCGGGCCTCATATTCTCGAACGCGACGATAGTGGCACGTGGATTCATTGCTAGTAATGTAGCGGTGGTCTAAGATGGGAAACATGTAGTCTCATTGGTAGGAGGGTGGTGATGTCGCAGGGTTGTCTAGATTAAGCTACATTAAGCCGGTGTATACCCCACAATTAGCTACTTTGAGGCTGGGGCTAAATGCTTGCGTCAAATGGGCGTCCCAAGTGCTATGAATTTGAAGAGCTTGACTCTGAAATTGATCTGGGGAAGGCTGGGCAATATGCAGCCGCAGAGCATATTCTTGCATCATTGCGATGGTATATTGCTCTTTCGCACTCGGCAGCCAGGAAAGCCCTGCTTCGTCATTGGGAATGTCAAGTTGTAATACGGATCCTGACTTGCATTAGATGAAGTCACGATATACCAGCTTGCGCTTCTCCACCATCACTGGGTGTCCATCTCATTATGTGAAAGAACTAGCAATATCTGGAGTGGTAAATCTCACTGCAGGCTTGCTTTGTAAACGCCTCATGTAAGTACCTCCACAAAGGCACTGTTAAGGGAGCCATTGCTGAGACTGAACAAAGATTAAAATCAACAATGAGGCCGTAGCAAAACATATATGGATACTGCTTGTCCAAAAGCTGGTCGCGAGCTGTGAAACATGCCAACAGATTGACTCCCGCGACAAAACGCCCAGTTCAAAATAGCTCCAAACTACTAGCAGTATCCTGGTACACGGTGACATCGAGGCTTTGTCGCGTTTGACTTTGTTTTAAGGTTTTAAAGTTTTGAAGTGACGACACAAGAGACGAGAAAGCTCATGAAAGTGCACGGACCAGGTCACCATCCTGTTGCCTTGGTGACATCACAAACAAGCGAAACAGACTTTCCTTGCTCCACCCACTGCTTACATACAGTACCAAAGTATCCGCCTGGACCGTCCCCTCCTACAGCTTTTCATACGGACACATCATCAGACGCCAAGACAAACAATTTTGCGTGTTCAGACTTCCCACATACTCTGACGACAAGATGGCGGATGCGCGTGGGGAGTACTGGTATTACGAAGATGGTGTGGATGCGAACAAGATCACGGTGCCCGAACTCCGCAGCATCCTCCTTCGCCACGGCGTCACTTATCCATCCTCGGCAAAGAAGCCTATTCTTGTAGGCCTCTTCAACGACATCGTCCTACCCCAAAAATCCCAAGTTCAGCGGGCGTATGCGCGGACGAAGCGATCAACGCGGGGCATCGTAGACGTACCTTCCAGCTCAGCCAGCACAGTGGATACAACCGATGTCGAAGACGAAACACTCGTGGCTCCCGCACCCGCGACTGGGCGGCGAACACTACGAAGAACCGGACGCGCAACGACAGAGGAGGCAGATGCGCCTGCACCACGTTCCAAAACACCTTCCCGCACTGTACCCGCAAAGCATAGCAGGGCTGCGGAGCCTGAGATAGACGAGCGGCCTGCAGCTAGACGCACGCGCAAGAGCGCTACACCTGCTCCACTCCCGCTTCCAAAAGAGCCATCGCCTGAACCAGAAGCATGGCACCGTAACGATGCGGCGAGCCCTTTTACCCAAGAAAACCCATTTCAAAGCGGAAGCTCTCCGGCGATACCAGACACTATCGCACGCGAGCGTCGAAGGCGGACCACAGGGTACAGCCAGCATGAGAGGCGCAAGAGTGATGTGCACCGCCGCCGAACAGTCCAACCCAAGACTGAACAAATAGACGATGGCATTATGGTACCCACACGCGGAACATTTGACGTTGCCGATCCCCGTACAAAGCACGAGGAGGAGGATACTGCAGACGCTGGGGAAGAGTTTACGCCCGAGGAGCAGCTCGAACTGGTGCGTGAGCGTGCAAAGGCCGGCGAGGTGGACATTCTCCCACCAAGAAAAAGACAGAAGAAAAACAAGGCTACTGGTACCATCAAAGCGATGGCAGGAACCATCCTCCTTACTGCTACAGCGGCTTTTGCTGGCGTTTGGCGACAAGAGAAGATCAATGTTGGCTTCTGCGGCATTGGGCGAGAGGCCACTGCACTTGCCGGCGTGGAGATACCGAGCTGGGCCGATCAAATTCTCCCGCAATGTGAGCCTTGCCCACCACATGCCCAGTGCTATCGAGGTTTGAACGTCCGATGTGATCCTGATTTCATCAAGAAGGACCATCCACTGTCACTTGGTGGCCTGGTGCCCCTCCCACCGACATGCGAGCCGGATAGCGAGAAGACTCGTAAAGTAAACGGTATTGCCAACAGGGCCGTGGAGGTCCTTCGACAACGCAAGGCGCAGTACGAATGTGGTGAGCCTGATGCAGAAGGACATCCCGTAGAAAGCCCCGAGGTCAGCGAAGTTGACCTCAAGGAGCAAATGGCTGCACAAAAAAGCAAGAGCTTAACGGATCAAGAGTTTAGCGATTTGTTCGACAGGGCTTTTCCTGA